GTGTAGCCGGGCAGGGCCGGGGGCCAGCCAGCCTGCTGGTGCAGCCCCGCGCCGTCTGCAGCGCTTGGGGGGAAGGAGAGGAGGGGGAAATGCAGCCCAGGTGGGATCGCGTTCACCTGTCCGGCAGCTCAGTGAGCCGAGGCGCTGTGAATCCCTGCCCTGGGGCCAGCAAAGGAGCGCGGGAGACGGGCGGCACTCAAGTTCCGGGTCACGAGAAAGCAAAGAGTCTTCCCAGGGCTGGCCTCCCCCGTCCCACAAAACCCAACCAAGCGTGGGAAGGGCCAGGTGCCGCCTGGGCGCCGCCTCGTCTGCATCAACAGAGCCAAGCTCAGTGTCAAAAAAGCAAGTGGAAAAGCCTCTTACTTCTTGTCTGGATAAGGCTCAAAGGAATCGTCTGAAGACTGCCCGGTTCGCTTCTCGTTTTCCTCCTCGCTCAAGAAGTCTCTGTGAGAGAGGGAGGGAGTTTTACTACACGTGGTCTGGATGAGCCTGCAGCTCTGACGCGCTAACATGCAGGGTGCTGGGGCAGGCAACACGATTTGTTCCTTCGTCGCCTGCACACAAGTCACAGCAACTGAGGCCGCAGAACACCCCTCCCCCCATCTCTTACAGCAACGTGAACCACTGGAGACTGCAACACGCCTTCCTGCTGGGCTGCGGGGCGAGTCCGGCCCTGCAGTCTCAGGGATTTCTTGCAAGGTGCCAGAGTGGAATTGTCACAACCGGCCTCCGCGACGTGAGCCCCACAGCAGCCTTGTTCTGACGCACTGTTCATCAGGCCGCCTCTCTTCCCCCTCCTCCCCAAAAGCCAACAGGCTGTTACCCCAGGGACACAATTCTGGGGGCGAGGAGAGAGAACAGTCTGGCATCTTTCATGTGACTCTCTTCAGGCTCTCGCCGCGCCAGAGTGGAATTGTCACAACCGGCCTCCGCGACGTGAGCCCCACAGCAGCCTTGTTCTGACGCACTGTTCATCAGGCCGCCTCTCTTCCCCCTCCTCCCCAAAAGCCAACAGGCTGTTACCCCAGGGACACAATTCTGGGGGCGAGGAGAGAGAACAGTCTGGCATCTTTCATGTGACTCTCTTCAGGCTCTCGCCGCGCTGACCCACCAGGCTCGCAACAGGAGCATGCGTCCAACACGGCCCCGCCAC